GATAAACTAAAGGGGTAAACAAAAGTGATAAACAAAAGTGATAAACTAAAGGGGTAAACTAAAGGGATAAACTAAAGGGGTAAACTAAAGGGATAAACTAAAGTGGTAAACAAAAGGGATAAACTAAAGGGGTAAACAAAAGGGATAAACTAAAGGGGTAAACAAAAGGGATAAACTAAAGGGGTAAACTAAATGGGTAAACTAAAGGGGTAAACTAAACTAAAGGGGTATTGACTATGGGTATGCTGGTCTGACGGAACACCGTCTTCATCTGTCGGTCCTCACGTCTTTGCTCTTCTTTGTCTTTCAGTCGTCGCCACTGTTCAGGTGAAGGACGAGCTGATGGGCGCCGTGGAGAACATCATCGTGAAGAAGGAGGAGGCCGACGGCACGACTCCTGAGAAGCAGGTCGAAGGGCTGACCGAGGAGGGAGGGGCGGAGGAGGTGGAGCTGGCTGTGAGCGAGGAAACGACGGCCGCTGCTGCTAACGGAGACCTGACCCCAGAGATGATCCTGAGCATGATGGACCGGTGAAGCCGCCTCCAGAACCTGCTCCAGCCGCTGATCCCAGCTCTCACATCTTTCTTCTTCTGAATGTTCTGAATGAATCTGCATGTTTCCTGCTGCTCAAAGCCACATCCTCTCTCTGTGTCTGTTCCCTCTCCCGTTCCTCTAACTCCATCAGCGCCGCAGCCCCGCCCGTTCCCAGGCCCTAAGAGGCAAACGCTCCAACGCAAGAACAAGCCGTGGTTTCAGACTGGAAGGTCTGCTTCCTGCTTTGGACTTGTAGAGGAACCCTTCCTTTGGGTCGTGTTTCATTTCTGCAGCGTTGGACATGAAGTTAAACCCAAAGTTTGTCCCGGTAGTCGTCCTTTACTAAGATCTAGTTTTTATTTCAGCGAAGCCTGTTGGTGTGGTTGGAGTGAGAGCATTAGAGACGGTTAAAGTAGAAATAATCTGGGTTCCATGTTTCCGTGTCTCCCGACGCCTGAGGCCCGGACCAGTGGAGCCACGGAGTTAGCCTCAGAAGGGCGGCGCCTCGGTCGCTTTAGTTACTCCAAATTGGAGGAATAGATAAACTGAAAAGCAGAGAGGAAAGAACTACTGAGAATAGATCTGTCCTCCGTCAGGTGGTCCTGTTTTCCTGTCTCCGTCCGACGGGACTGCCGGGACGTTTCGGAGTGAGGAAGTGGAGGAAATCTTTGGCGGTCGTAGTCAGGCGGTGTTTTAATCCGGATTTTATTTTTATTTTTTTCCGGATTGTAACACCAACGCTCCTCCATCTCATCATGTTGTTGGAAGTTCTTCCTGAATCAGACCTTCAGGCTGATGTGGACCATTCTAGATGTTTCCTGACTTTTCATACTTCAGTCCTCAGACGGAACCCGGTGGTTCTGGTGTCACTCCACCGCTACGGGCAGCGGACCCATGGATTCATGTCGATAAAGCTTTCCTGATTTTTAGAAACAGATTTTCCTTTTTTCTGACGGCGGATCAGTCGGAACTGAACCAGATCAGTCCGTCTTTGTCTCCCAGCTTCTGGTCTTTTTGATATTTTTACTCCTTTTATTATTTTTACTGTTTTTGCTAAATGTGTGTCTGAACCTCTGAGCCCGACTCGTTGAGTTTTCCTGGTTCTGAAAGGTTTGCTGCTCGGGGATCCGATGTCGGCCTCTGGCTGAAAGGTTCCCGCCTTTTCCCTCGCCGGGGCCGGTTCTCCTCGGTTCTGTTGATCCTTCCATGTTCTGCTGACGCAAAGCAGGATCAGCTCTTACTGCTGGACGCCTGTTTTATCATGTTCTCTGCAGAGAAACGCTGACCATGTCATTCCTTAAGCTTTTTCTCTCCATCGATAAAATAAAAAATAAAAGTTGTGGACCGGGTCTCAGGCTGCTGGGTGGTTCTTTCCCATCATGCTTTAGTTGTGTTGTTTTTGCAAACAGGAGAGAAAACTGGAGCGTAGAAGTAAGCTGTAGGAACCAAAGTCCTATGCAGTAAATGGGTCAAAGGTTAAATAACATGTATTGCATACATAGTCTAGATTACATCTTTAAGAAAACAGGAATATAATTTTTATAATATTGAAAAAATATCGATAATAAACTAAAATGTTTGATTCTATGGGATTCTTTATTTAAAAAAAAAATAAGATCATTAGGACTACTCTAACTGTGATTGGTTTGTCTCTGGAGGGTGGGGCAGCATCTGAAGTAGTCAT